ATCACTTTTTACCAAAAATGACAAAAATATTCACCAAAATTAGAGAATTGAAGATATCATCACGAAATGAACAAATCTGAGAAAGGTCAACATGTAGTATCTATATATGTAATATCAAAGCAATTGAACTTTTGGTTTTTAACAAGAAGTCGAAAATATCACTTTTTACCAAAAATTACAAAAATATTCACCAAAATTAGAGAATTGAAGATATCAACATGAAATGAGCAAACCTAAGAGAGGTCTACCCAAGGTACATATACACCAAGTATCAAAGCATTCAGGCTTGTAGTTTTCAAGAAGAAGTCAAAAAAGTAAAACATTGACACGGACGACGGACGACGACGGACAATCACTCATATGATAAGCTCCGCTCGACAAAGTCGACAGCGGAGCTAATAAAGCGGGGGAGTCGTCACCTGCGCATGCGTCAGATGGGCATAGCGCGTTGTTGTTTACAAACAAGTGTCTACCCATGAGCCTTTGCGTTTTTAGCGTGTGTAGTGAGCGTGAGACTCAATTCCCGCGGGTGCGCAGGTGACGACCCTCCCGCTTTAACCATTACGTACCTGGAGTGATAGAAACAAATTCTTTTCAAGCCAAAGTGTCAGAAATAAGGTTCCTTTTCGGGAAAAAGTTCCTGGAAATAAGTCTACAGTTTCAGCATTCAATACTGAAATTAAAACGATTAAAAGCTGCTTAAAAGCTTCTTTCAGGCAGAAAAATGGGTACTGTAATTTATCACAGACGTCAAGAAAAACGATAGTCTGAGAAGGGGTATACAATTTTTAACTAAGTATGCTTTTTCGCATTTTGGGGTATAGGGCATTGCTGACATCTCACCTCTTTTCCTGGAATTATGTCGCAGGACAATAATCTACTACCACAAGCTATGCCAATAAGAAGTTTTAATGATATTAGGGCAAGGCATGCCTGAGAAAGAATTGAAGAGAATATGGCCACAAGTCGATCAAAGGTCAACTAAATGAAAAACAAACTTATGTGCATTTGTAGACCATTATGATGTTTCTTTGTACTTAACTTTGAAGGAAATTGATCTACGTAGGTCTACGAGAAGATGTCAGACTGACGCACACACAGAGCCAAAAACACATGCATCCCACCCCATATGACGAAGAACCACTTTTCCAACATTGTCAATTACTATAAACTTACGCAAGGAACTTACTCAACATGACATTGTCAATTTTGTTGTATATGTACTTAAATCAAGATGCTGAAGATCCTAATCAAGTTGTTACTTACGTATGATCCATAAAACGCAAGATAATTTGTCAACATTGTAAAAATAATGATTTGTGAAATAATTTTTTTCAGAGGAGACAAAACCAAGCCCAGTGACCTATGAAATAACAGACAAAAACCTTGTGAAAGCTCCTGCTTATACTTGCCGTAAAGGTTGCAAGCCATGCTTTCCAGATATACTTCACTATCCCAGACAGGGTAAGAACCTGTTCCAACTTTATTATTAGACCATTGAATACTGATCGATAATAGGATAATAAATCCAAATGTTTCATAGATTATTTAAATCTGTTCAATCGGTAGTTCAGTCATTCTATGACGCAATTTACAAAGTTTTGCCACTTCTTCGTTATTAGACCAGTCATTCAAGTTATGTGTTAATTTGTGTTGTTAAAAAAAAAAAATTTACAAGGAAAAAATTATTGTATTGTATGCTAGTTAATTATATACTGATTTATTGTTTCAGTGAAAGAGGTTACTCCAGGACCAGGTCATTATCATAAAGAAAAAAAGTTCACAGTCAATGATAAACCTGCATTTTCTATGGGTAAAAGAGCCAAAAAACCAAAAAGTAAGTCAAGATGATCATATCAAATGGATAAAAATTGCTTGAGGTATTGTAACCACTAGAAATGTTTAGACAACAAACAGGTTTCAAATCTGTACCTTTTTTATCATCTATGGCACAGAGAAGGTAAAAAAAATGCAGTTTATATCAAAGTTATACACTTTCATTGGAATACATTTTTAGCTTTTGGGATGTACAGTTCTTCAAATATGAGGAAATCATTCTATGAACGTTATTGTTTTCAGATGAAGTGCCAGGTCCTAACCATTACGCCATAGCTGCACCACATCGCCCGGATGCCAAGAAAGCACCTAGCTTCTCGATGTCAGGGATGTATAAGCCAGTAGAAAGCAAGTACATTACTATTCTTTCCCAATTTTAATTGTTTCTACTTTTTAATCTCAAACCATATTTGTAAAAATGTCAATCTCTCAATTAAACAATTTTCATTAGTTCTTGCCATTCAATAAACAATCCTAATTGTTTTCTGCAGAAAAAGACAGTCCTGGACCAGCAGCTTATTTTCCTAAACCTATAAATGACCAACCAAGATACAGCATGAGTAAGAGACATACCGTAGGAGCAGTCAGTGAGTATTACAGTCAAACTAGCTACACTTGAAGCTGGTTAGTAAAGCTGTCATTTTGCTTTTTTTGTGGCAACATGTTGACTATACAAACCAAGTCACAGAAGTTTTGGGACAAGTTAGCTAACTTTCTCGCTAATTCGCCAACCACTTTGAAAGCAGATGATCTACAATTTGAATATTACTAGTATCCTTCATTCAGTCATTTTCAAATGTTAGTAATGTCTACTTATATCTATATCTATTTGAAAAGTAGTTTTTAATAAGCTTACGAGTTTTCACAGGACTGAAATGTATGCAAAATTGTTTGCGATGGTCAAATCAGCTTTGTCAAATTAGTGAGCAAGTAAATTGGTGCCCCGATATTTATAAGACTTGTTGTAAAGTGACACTGTCTTTACAACATTCTATTGTTTTCTGATTGGTTTAGCAATGCAATAAACATCGCTCACGATCGCAACTAGCAGCAAAACAATGTTAACTCTGACCAAGTGCCACACAGTATATTGACAATTGATTGAATTTACTAATGTGCCTGTAAAATTCACTTGTCCAAAAACTGGTTGCTATCAATTTGCAAACTTTGTTGTTTAGTGAGCCTTCCTTACACACAAGTGCAGTTCAGACAGCAGTGCACTTTAAGGTAGAAGCTGACTCGGTTGAAAATACCCATAATTTATTGATTTTGCAATAAATTGTACTCCAAGGACATTGTCTTAAAAGTTTGGGGTTACTAGTTTTATTGTTGAGAAAAAGCTAGTTGTATTTCAGTGGATAGTTGCCATTTTGGTACTATTACATCGCTTTTACCATAGGTTTCTATGACAGGGATATTATGCTATATTTTTAGAAATTGGCAAAAAATGCAACCTTTCTTTAACTATGGAATTGTTTTTGAATTGATTTTTGAAAAAAACTCAAATGCAACACACAAAACAATGTCATTTCAATCTACCATAAACAAATAGCTCCATGGTTGTGCATAATAAATCAATGAATATTGTCGTGTGATTTACGACCAACTTCTTCAGAAATTATCAGTAGATTTCTACCTTAAAGTTGCATTCAGCCTTTGCAATGTTGAGAATGATTGAGATAAACCTGTCTAGTATAGACATTGAATTCTCAATTATTAATAAATTGATCCTTATTTTCACAGAGAATTGCACTCCAGCTGCAAATAACTACAAGATTGTGTCAGGTCAAACAGCTAAGGGGGTCTACACAGGAGCATGTCCTAAACTGAAAGCAAGAGCAAGTCCATTTGTCTACTCAGGGCTGACATCAATGATCAGACTAGAAAGTTAAGACAAGACAAACAATAACAATTTCCTACGCATTTTGGAAATCTGTGTATGTAAATAAATTTCTCTTCAACTCCAATATAAAGTTAATAAAAGAAATCACACCTTAATTTAAACATAGTAACTTGGATTTATTTTATACAAGCATACAAACAAGTCTTGTATCTGGGACGAAGATTATTTCATATAAAATCCCTTCTTACTGTATATTAGACATTTATCCAACATATTAATTTACCCTAAAAACACTCGTCAATATTATAATCCTTAAATGAACAACCTTCCCGTGCAGTGTAAAAGGCATCGTCACAACATATATATATATTGATCATCTGTATTGCATTCATTGTTATGGTTCCATTTAGTGGCCAAACTATGAATATTCTATGCTCCAGGGAGACTCTTGTAAGATAGCTGAAATTACATTCACAATTATTCAATTATTATTTTGTGTGAATTGCGAGAAATATATAATATATATTCACATTTCAAGTTTTGGCTCCCCATTTGCTTAATTTCTTTTGCTTGTTAACTCTTTTTAACAGTGTTTCAACGCATGGATTTAACAGATACTGCTAGCTACTGTAATTTCAGAATCAAAATCCTGGTGAATTTTTGTTTTTTCTTCAAGCAATGCATGCATTCAGACAATCAAATATTTTCACACAAACGTCTCAAGACCCTAATAAAAACTCTATGAATGTTAGCACTTCAATGTGGATCGCCTAAAACATTTGTCCTAAAAGGTGGACACATCCCAGAAATATAAAATTATAGTTATTTTGGACACAGTCTGCTTTTGAAATGCTAGTGTAAGCGAATACCGCAATATTTTTTCATGTTTGGGTATTAGCATATGTAAAATACATGTTGCAAATGAAGTAAAGTTGGTGAGCAACAGCGCACAAACCATACACTTTATAAATAGCCCCCAGAATAGGTACTTTTCAAAGAAGATTATATTTTTGAAAAAAAAAACAGTCTGTTCAACATATAAAATTGATCTTCACTGGTGTTTGTAGATGCCCATATATCACAAATACCTGTACTTTTCAAAAACCCAGTTTATCTTGCAAGAGATTTTCAGAGTGCAATGACATGAACTGGGGTTGGCACACAACAAATACTTCTGTGGTAAATAAACTGGAATTAGTGCAGATATATATATATATAAATACGGTAATAGAGGAATT